TATATATTAAGTACTTACTTACTTTACTTTTACTTCCTCTGTTGTCGTTAAGCGTTGAGGGGAGATGCAGTTTTCTATGGTAGGCCAGCTCCGCAGCTCTTTCAGTTGTGATGTTATGTTTTCTCAGGGTTTCCTTAACACCCTAGATCCACATTTTGCGTGACCTTCCTCTTCCTTTATAGCCTGAGTGCTTGGTGTTGTAGGCTCTTGAGGCTGGCTGGTCAGGTGACATTCGTAACAGGTGGCCAAACCACTTTATTCTCTGTCTTTCTATGTAACGCAGGCAGGACTCAATGCCGTTAGCTCCTCTTACTTCTTCATTTCTCTGCCTGTCTCGTCTTGTGATGTTAAGGGTTCTGCGGAGACATTAATTCGTTTTGCATGCGGTGATTTTGCTTTCATGGATTTTTCATGTTTTTATTAAGTATTGCAGTATTACTCAAAATTAAATACACATTAAATAAAAGGTTTCCCTTCCTAGACTTTGTGTCATTTGTTATTTCAAACATTTTGTTCCAGTCTGTGGGAGAGCCACTGGGAAGAACAGAAAAACAATAAACTATATGTTATAAAACCCAAACTGGAACAGCGAAATCCTTCGGACCTCTCCAGAAGAGACGAAGTCATTTTTACTCGATTGCGCATCGGACACACGGCCCTGACCCCCAAATACCTCCTACAGGGAGATGAGAAGCCGTTCTGTGTCGGGTGCGACACAGATTTTACAGTTAGACACATCTTAACAGAATGTCTAGACTTTGAAGAGATCCGAAGGAAATATTATAAATGAAAGAAATTGCAAGACATTTTTTCCGTCCTTGGTCCCAACAGAATTTTGAATTTTATGAAGGCCATGGGCCTTTATGGTAAAGTATAAAATGTAACAATATTGTTAGAAATTTTAATTGTTATTTATAAGAGTTGTTTTAAATTGACAAAATATATATTTACACCGAATTTTAATATTTTATCATTTTAAAGTCTAATAGTCGATCAACCGTGCACTGAACTGTTGCGAATGCAACCAACTTGTGTTTCGCGCGCTCATATGACCTTATGCAGTTGCGAGCGCCGTAAAACTCTATACCAAACAAACAATATTTTGTTAGAGCGAGGTTTTCATTCACTCAAGTGGAGAGACTGAGACTGTGCCTGTCTATGATCCTTTCAACTCAAAAATCTTCCTCCTTTTGCTGGGGAAAGAGTGTAAACGTCAAGTTCAAAAGAATTATTTGAGGATGCTTTAAAAAAGTCTTATTAGAGGTTTTACGGCGCTCGCTACTGCATAAGGTCATATGAGCGCCAGAAGATTAGAGGTGTTACAAGAGAGTTTAAAAAAAAAAAAGAAGGGGAGATAAGGATGATAGATGGTTTATAGGAAAGAAGAAGCAAACCACACCAGAGAACCCGCCAACCACCCACATTGATGCTTGTAGCCATCAGAAGAAAGGTAAAAGTAAAAGAAAATATAGAGCTATTTTTGAGGTGCCTTGATAGTCGAAGCAGACTTTGTGCTTTTGAAGCTAGAGAGGTGAGCAGAGTAAGTCTGATTCCCTGTAAAGACTTATCTGTTGACACCCACCCCTTGGCGCTCATATGACCTTATGCAGTTGTGAGCGCCATAAAACCCTCTACTATAAAAAAAAAAATTGGTAAAATAAATTTGAAGTTAAAAAAATGGAGTTTCACAATAAGGTCAAACTTTCTCGAAAGCAATCCTTTGAATTATATCTTGATAATGACTCCGAAGTTTTAGTTTAGTTTTAGTAGAGGTTTTACGGCGCTCGCAACTGCAAAAGGTCATATTATGAGCGCCAGAAGATTAGATGTGTTAAAAGAGAGTAACAAACATAAAAAAGGAGAAGGGGAAGAAAAGGACGATAGATGTTTGATAGGAAAGAAGTAACAAACCACATCCGAGCACCCGCCAACGACCCACTGACTCAGAATATAATCTTACAATTTTGATAGAGCAGAAAAAAAAAACATTTGGTTTCTAACGTCATGGTCACAGTAACTTAAAACGACCAAAAACGTCAAACAGAGCTTTGAACATCTTAGGTAGTGCAGTGCAAACAAGGATGTTACATGATAGTCTCTAAAAAGCTCACTTTCAATGCTTGCCACGTGGGTGGTTGACGGGTGCTCCAGTGTGGTTTGCTTCTTCTTTCCTATCAAACATCTATCGTCCTTATCTCCCCTCCTTCTTTTTTATGTTTGTTACTCTCTTGTATCACCTCTAATCTTCGGCACTTACATGACCTTATTGAGTTGCAAGGACTGTAAAAAACGTACTAAAAGTAAATGCTAGCCACAGACGCCATTTTTTTACCCTGACAACAATAAAATAATAATGCCCTCCAAAAGTCTGTAATGAAGAAAAGTAAAAAAGCAAACAAACAAATTGCGATAAAATAACAAGGAATTTAATCATCCAATTGTTCCTGACAACCGTGTGATGTGAAGGGTCACGCTGGCAGTACATCACAGACACACGCAGCAGGAAACAGCATTTGACAAAATCAAACAATCATTCAGAATTCGATGGACAATGGTACATGTATTAATGAATTATTCTAAAGAATCAACAAAGTTTCTACAAGAGGTATGTTAATAACTATTCATTACCATAAATACTTTTGCTTGTAGTTTGTAATTAGTTTCTTGAAAAATTTTTATTTACAAATTAAGATGTTCATTACCAGGAAATATGCTAATTCGATGAGAAACCACATTGCGATTGATCTAGAGTTCAGATCTATCATGTATGTGTCAAACAACAACACACCGAACATCTTAACCTAGCTGTCCCCGCGGTCTAAAGCACCCTGTATAATTTAGCAAAATGTTATCATTTTGGGCATAATTTCTGATTATTTTCCTTTATCATTCTTTGTCAAAATTAACAGAATCGCATAATTTCACATTTTTGGGCTCAGTTTGCATATAATTTCAGACTTTTTTTTGCATAACACCGCGGGGACAAAACTAACCCCTTCAATGCCATATGAAGGTAGCGGGTACATCATGGAATTCCTTGCACAATCAATGTGTATTCATCCGTTGATGAACTGGTACCAGGGAATGCAAAACGCGTTCTGTGAAAAGGACAAAGGCCTCAAACACTTATCAACCCACCTAACTGAAAATGTCAAAAGCCTTTGGAATATAATGGGGAACTGACTGAACACTAAATAATTGAACTAATGTTTCAAAAGAATGACCAAAATCAAAGATGGAAAGTGAAAAGATTTAAATTATCAATGAGGCCAGCTTCGAAAGTAATAATGAAACAGTTTGTCGTAAACTCTCAAAACTGGTGAAGCGACTGAGTGAACAGACTTTGGGAGAAAGCTTCTCACAGCCACAAAAGAAAGCTGAATCAATGAATGAGAAAATGTTTCTGTACTGGTTAGTACAATGACTGATGATGACCTTTCAACTAAACTTTCACCAACGCACAGCAGTTCTAAAATAAATCTGTTCTAAATATGTCATATTTTGCCAGAATTGTCAAATGAATCTAACTCTCAACAGCATTCACTAAACATTAACAACGATGAAAGGATGATACCAGATAACAGTTCCACCACGGTACAACACATTAGATTTAGACAATATATGGCAACAATATAAATTAGAGATGTATTGAGGTCTTCAAAAAAAACAACAACAACAAACAAATAAAAATAGAAAAGGAGAAAAAAACCACCAACAGCTTTCATTGAAAAACAAACTTTAGAAAACTTGAAGCAAAACTGAACCTGAAGAAAGTGAAAGTGAAGGAATTTACAACCTCTATCATCAGCACCCAGAAACCTCATCTCCAATTTTGATTTATGCATTCGTTTCAATCCTGCTATCTGCTTTTTTCTTTGTGTGTCTGCTTGTATCTGAAAACAATTCAGCATTTGGATGAAAAGATAAGCAGCATGAGAGGAAAAACATATACCATAAGGGTTCTGCACTGACTGGTGTGGATGGTAATAATAATAACAGATAGCATTTGTATAGCGCAAATCCCCGCTCAACAGCAAGCTCCATGCGCTTCACAATCTATACTGTTACCCCAGCAGACCTGAAAGCATTCTAAAACAAACTCAACTTCCTGGGAAGCATACAGTGCAAGCGGCCATTTATAGGCGCTAAAGCACTAACATACTGACAAGATCTTTCGCTGTCTATGGCCGGGTACCCATTTCCATCTAGGTGAAGTAAGGAAAATTTGTGCAAAGTGCTTTTCCCAAGGACACAGCGTCAGGCCCGCGACTCGAACCCCCGACTCCGTAAACCTCACTTTTTTTCTTTGTTTCACGCTTAGACGAATCGTTTTTGAAAACAGTGAAGATAACTCATCATACACATGTGCACACAAAATGCAAAGTATTTTTTTTTAATGCCTTGAAAGCACACAAGCACAATCATAACTATAGTTACCGGTATACACATATAGGTGTACTGTTAACCTCCAAACCCATAATCTCAGAACCAAAACAGCTGGTAAGAAATAATACACTGTACACAACCCCATGAATCTGCGGGTGAAAAGTTGCCACAGGAATGGAACACGTCCCAGCGCAAACAGAAACACACCAACAGACATACACTTTTCTTCCTCAACCCATCATTTTCTCCTTACCAGCAGCCCACTCACACTAGGCACACACCCAACTGAGAAATATTCCGCCAGCAAGCTTTTCAACTGCACTAATCTCAGAAACAAAAATTCTTCAGGAGAGATATTCTCTTAACTCTTTATCGCCGAGGGGGTTAAACCCACTTCGCCACGGCCCTTTTTTGGCACTAAATTTAAAAACTAGAAAAAAACGTCACTAAATGGGTCATTCAATCGAAACTAGCCAACCTATTATGACAGTACTTCATCTAATGAAAGAATATCAGGTAAAAGAAACCTGTTTGCCGAAAAGTAATTTGATGTTGAAGTCGTCATAAAGGAATGTGCCCGAGCCGCTGTCAGTGGCTCACCGGCACAGCAGTTCCAACGGCGAGCTGCTGAGAATGGCTTGCCGGAGATAAAGAGTTAATTAAATAATTATATAGGCTCCCAATACTAAGTATCTTTTCTTGCTTTCTTTTTAACATTTAAAATTTGAATTTTGACAAAATATTTCTCGACTCAACAATATGCAGCTGCCACAACAACTAAGAAACTACTACGAAAAAAAAAGTTTCAATTTTGGGCTTTATACATCTGAATACCTGGTAAGCCATTTCTGCTTGTTCAGCGTTATTGACATCTTTTTGTCTAACTCACACTCGTCAAATGGCAGGACACACCCTTACTTCTCTTCCTTGATTCCAAATGTATTGACTACCCGTACATCTCTCCAGGGGGGGGGGGGGGGGGCACATCAAGAAAGTCAAGATCTGAAGGGACGGAAGTTGTAGGCCTACTTGGGCAGTTCACTTCCCCTATGTCTACCGCAGTTGCAAAGCTATTCTGATTCTATTTATACTACTTCAAAATCATCGGTCAAAACACAAAAGATTGGACGACTATATATATATACTGTACTTGGTTATAATAAAAAATAGAGACAAATGTAACAGACCTATGTCCTTTTCTCTCATTAAAAACACAAAGACACACAAACTCATTTACACCAAATCACAGACACACACTCACTCAGTCACTCACACCAAATCACACACACTCACACATACAAGAACTCACATACGCACGCACATTAGCACACACACACAAAAAAACATTTTTAAATAGACTACTTTCACACTAATTTCATTACACTTTTTCCTTCCTCACAACTTCTAAAGACACATTTCATACAGACATTTATCCCAGCATCAAAACATCAATAAATATTTTCTTTAAAAAACCGCAGTACGACCCACACCCTCAGACATTAAAATTCATCATGCAGCGGGCCGTCCTCATCATCGTCTGACGAGGCAGCCGTCCCAGATTTCGTTTCCGTGGGTTTGACGTAGATCCCCTCAGCCGCCTGCCAGTAGTTGAGATCGTTGGCCGATGGGTAGGCGCTGATCTCCCTTTGCCCGTGGATGGGGCGTCCGTACGTGTCTCCGCTCACATGTAGAAAGCTGAAGAGGGGAAACAGAACAGTACAACTTTGTAGTTTCTCTAGTTGGTTTTAGTAAGAGTTTTACGGCACTTGCAACACGATAAGGTCATATAAGTGCTGAAAATTTGAGGTGTTACAAGAGAGTAACAAACACGAAAAAGAAGGAGGGGAGATAAAGACGATAGATGTTTGATAGGAAAGAAGAAGCAAACCACACCAGAGCACCCGCAAACCACCCACAATTTCTCTTGACGTCTCCAGAAGTCTTAGTTAAAAATGTTATAACTTCAGGAAGAAAGCCAAAGAGAAAAACAGAACACAATAACTTTGACTCACTTGAGCCTATTCCTGTGTATGTTTACGGAATGCGCTTTATCGATCGATATCTCCGGTGCTTTTCGGTTCCAAACTACGGGAAACAGCGAGCCATCAGTTGTTTCGTTTCGTTAAAAATTTGGTGAAGTTATGTGCGATACTTTTTTAGCTGTAACGGACTAAGTCAGTCACCGCTGAAGTGCGATAGATGATTTTATTACAAATTGGGAGAAAAAAAATATGCGTAATCCTGAAATATTGCCATTTTAAAATATTGATAAAATAAAAAATAAGCGGACAAATTAGACGCAGTTTTCTTTTTCTGCGAGATCATTTCTTTCTTTCTTTTGTTGCATTTTAAAAATTATGAATAGCTT